TAAAACTATCATTTCGCCCCTGCTCAACAGACAATATTAGTGTACAGGGTCTCGCACAAAAGGGCACTTAGCAATGTTCTCTAAAATACAAAATTAGGTAAGTATGTGTGCGTGTCTGTGTATGTGTAAGTGCAAACCCATAATTGATTAGAACTATAAGGAAGAACTATAAGGAGGTAAGTGTGTGTGTGTATGTTTGAATTTATGTGTGTATGTGTGAGAATGTATTTGTGTGTATGTGTGAGAGAACGTATTTGTGTGTGTGTGTGTGTTTGTTTGTATTTGTGTGTCTTTTGATGATAACAGTGGTTATGTTGTCTTTTCGTTTGGTTTTCACACGCTTTATCGAATGTACATTTTGAGTAATATCATCATCATCATCCTAACCATCATCATCATCCTAACCATCATCACCATAACCACCATCATCATCATCATCGCCATCATCATCGCCATTTTCATCATCATCATCAACATCAACGACAAAAAGATTGTACAAAATGCTAAAAAAATATTCAAAACAGAAATTTGTTTTTACCGTTTTAGTTTTCCGAAATTTGAATCTTAATTATTATTAATATTATTGTTATTATTGTTAATATTATTAATATTATTATTGTTAATATTATTATTATTGTTATTTTTATTATTATTATCATTTGCTTATTATCAATAGAACCCCGCAGAACATGATTGAACGGCCGTCACAGAAAAAAGTTTAACCATACATTCAGATGTTCGTTCGTTCGTTCGTTCGTTTGTTCGTTCGTTCTTTTATTCATTCATTTGTTTAATCAATCAATCATTTATTCATTCATCTTTCAATCATTCACTCACTTTTTACACACCTCCAGCCAATCGCAAAATATTATTTTTTTAACAACTGTGTTAAACGGCATATAAAATTAACCAATCAGCCAGTTTTTTTCTAAATTCATCAACCAATCAAAAACAAGCATCCAGTTTATTGACCAATCACAATTAGAAATTTTTAAAAATTAAAAATCAGCATTCAGACATTTAACCAATAGTCATCCAATCAACCCGCTGATCAACCAATCAACAGACAACCAGTCAAGCAATCAACGAAATATCATTGCGTCATTTCAAATTGACATCACGTGACCGATTTCACGTCATGTGACTCGTGTCATCTGTTTCCGGCCTGTTGACGTCGAGGAAAAGAAAGAAATAAGATGGTTGGAAAAAAATGAATGAGTTAATAAATGAACAAATGAATAAACCCATAATTAAACAAATAAATGATAAATGAATAGATAAAAAAATTGACAAATTCATTAATCTATTCATTCTTCCAACTGATCCTACCTTCTTTCATTCATTCATTCATCTATTTATTCATCCGTTCGTTCGTTCATTCAGTTGTTTTCTTTCATTAATTTTCAGAGCGCGTTTGATGCTGGTTCTAATTTAGAAGATTTTAAACCTCAGGGTGACGTCATTTGAAGAGATAAACA